TGCCACATCCAGTCCCATCCAAACCATGCTCCACCCAACAGCTCCTCAGCAGCCCTAAGGTTTGTCCCCACCTCTTACTCCCGACCACCCCTGCACAACTGCAATCCTCCCTCTGTGACCTTGACCTTCTAAACTGCAGGCTGACTGAGGTGTATCATCCTCTGGGGGGGGGGGGGGGAGTTCGGCGCAGTGAAAAGAAAGTGGGCTTCAGCCTGAACCAAGTTTCATCACTTAGCTTTGTGGCCTCGAGAAGCCTCTTCAGCCTCTCGGAAACCAAGTCTCCTCTTCTTTAGGACGGTAACTTGTAGAAGGATGGCTGTACAGACTGGGGATAAGGCATGCAAAGTGCCTTGTCCTGAGGCGAGCTGTATCCGTAATTTAATGCTTTAAGACTTCAATTATTTTGTTATCTGTAAAAATGGATACTAAGCCTCTGAGTGACTTTGAAGATTAAATGAGATAAATGTAAGGTACCAACCGCAGTTACTACGTTGTTTTGTTTCATTTCCTTTGAATGGTTCCCAGTTCCCAATACAAAACATGGCCACGACCGCATCCCCAGTTTCACCTCCTGCTACTTCTCCTTTACCATAAGGAGTCATTTAATAGTCAGACTGTGCCAAGTCTTCAGGTCCTCCTCTCCTTCAAACCATATTTACAGGTATAAGCTTCAGTGTGAGAAGGTCCTTTATTACATCTTTCAACATGCAAGTTCATTATATTTTCAATTTAGAATGCAACATCCATAAAGTGCATGTATATGTAAAGGGAAGATAAGGAAGAATATTTTGTTAAGCATGAAACTCCGAAAAAAAATCTTCAAACCGTGGCTGCTGTTCATGTAAATATGGTGAATGTGATGAGAGATTATAAAATCTTGCTAAATGACACCTGAGAAATAACTTTGCCAGAGGAGACATCTTCCGAGTTGAAACAAAAAGCAAAAATGGCACGTGTTAGGGAAATTGGGTGAAAAAAAAAATGCAGTTGGAAATGATTATGCTTCTTTGATGAGGCTGCTTGTAAACACTTTCCAAAATTATCTGATAATAAATGTAACATTTCTTCAGCAAAAACATTAAGAGAGAAAAAACACTAGCCAATACTAACAAATTCAGTGTTACCTTTCTCTGTGTTTATTCTTGGATTAGAAAAGAAACCTGGGGGTTTTTCCCCATATGATTTTATGATTTAGAATTTACAAAGAGAAGAGAAACTAACCGTCTTTCTAAGCATATAGGGGGAAAAAATTAGTTCTGTTTAAAGACGAATTCAGGTAGTTAAATGGCTTTCAACAGGTCCTAATGTGATGATCTCTAAAAGTCTCTGAGTTCAATGTTTATTTCTTGAATGATGTAACTACGGTCCTGAAAAAGCTTCAAATTGGCCCCAGAAAGAAAAGCTGCTCTATGTCCACAAAGTGCTTCCTCAGCAGCTAGTGTCTATCCTTGATGTCAGGTTGAGAAAATGAGAGAAAATGAGTCAGAGATTCTTAGTAGAGCGTCTACTGTAACCTAGCTGCAAAACTTTTCTCATGTTGTCACATGGATGTGTTTCGTAAAATGCTAACAGGAATGCTGAATCACTCCTTTCTACGGGGATCTTTTTAAACATTACAATATTTTAAATTTCAAACATTTTTAAAGCCAAAAAACAAAAAACAAAAACAAAAACAAAAACAAAACCCTTGAATTTAAATTCTAGGGTTTTTTTTTAAACAAATGAATATTTTTAGTTTTCAAATAATTTTAGAAACATGACTCTTCTTCAAACACTATTTTGGCCAGGGTGACAGACACAGTGCTGATTTACACACATCTCAAACATACAATCAGCCAGGCCCTGAACCTAACTGGGTCTGGGTATCCTTCAGGCCTCGGAAAAGCATGCATTATTCGTGAAATCATAAAAGCAAAACCGCGGCCGAATATTCTAGTGGATAGGTGCTCGGTCCAGCTTCCCAAAGACAATGAAAAGGGAAACATGATGATGATGTCCGAAGTCAGTCATTCTTTTTTCACATCATCAGTACTTTTTTTTTTTTCAAGAGTCTTCTTTCGGGAACAGAATGACAGCAGTTGTGTAGGCTCAAGGATGAGCCAAGTCAAAAAGCATGCCTGACCTACGGAAGAAAGTCACTAGAAAAAAAAACCTCATGAATTCATCATCTTGATTCCGCACATCTTCAGCAACACTGCTCACTCGGATTATCGTCAGAGCAGTAAAAAGCCTGGGAGGGAGGGCAGTAGCATTGTTGGGTGCTGACTCTTGCAAACAAACATGACCTGTAAAGACTGAGCCGTGTCGCCACACTGCAAACCACCAGCATCCAACTTGGACTTACACAGTGCTTTCCTGCTGACATTCCCATAAACCGATCCAGTTACTTTTAAATGAATCATATTTGTTGAAAGAGCCCAGAAATAAGCCGAAGATTTTATACTTGGCTTTATTTATATAGATAATGCATCATCATTTAGTATATAAACTTGAAAATGAATAAAATATGATTTTGAAAAATCAAGAGCACTCACAAAACATGTTTCTCAAAAATGGCTTCCATAAGATATCGCTAGAATATCGTAGTTTGCACGATTATTTTGGATTTACTTTTCAAATAGGAAACAAACAGTAGTGAGACTGATTTAGTTCATTTAAATAATACTCGCAACTAAAGTGCAGGATCAGAATAACAGGTCTCACTATCAAATAACCAAATACAATGATTCTTTCATTACCTTAAAGTACATTTTTATATAATTGTATAAGCCAGTTCATTGGGAACCTAACATTAAATTGCATTTATGCTAAATGCAACTCAAATACATGTATTAACAAGTATCATTTGGTAAAAATGATCCTGATAAATTTTTATTAACCTCCTGCTATACACAACAAGATACAAATACGCCACAATTTTTTATAGAAGAAATAGTAATTGGTAGTTGCAATATTCTGTATTAAGAAACCAGTTACACTATTCTTACAAAACACTTTTTCTTGTTTTTCCTATTATTGCTAATGAAAGTAATACAGGTAGTTTTTAATATTAGTCACTTTCTATACTTTCTAATTCTTTTAGTCTTTCTCTGGCACTAGCCAATATTGACTAGTGAATGCTTGAAAAAGTTCTATCGTCTTTCAGTATAAATGTATTCTTTCATAAAATACCACTCACTAGGTGCTAGGTTTTGTGATAAAGACTGGATGTAATGTAAAGATAGATTCCTTTCCTTAAGAGCTTACGGTCTAGGAAAAGCAAAAGACAACTGTATTAAGGTTTACTATGCAGGGCGACTGTAATGACACAGGAAACCTAGCAGGGTTGTTTGAATCAAGCAGGAAGGTCATCTAACAGTCACACTCCTTTTCGTTAAATTAATCCTACCACGTTTATAAAGGAGGTGATGGCTAACAGTGCCTGGTTTGCACTTCCTTGTTTTGGCAAAGCTGTCCTCATAAGTGTAGACATCAAAATACCGCTGAGATTTACAATCATCACCCTGTTTTCTGACTTCATAAGGTTCACCATCACTGAATTTAAACATATCAGCTGAAGATCTACTCTAAGTTGGAAAACACCAGTAAATCCAGCTGTAGTTAAGAACAGACAGGTACATGATAACCAAAAAAACCCAAAACGCGAAACAATACAAAACAATATGGACTACAAATTTACAGCTAAATACCCAAAAATCAGATTTCTACTTGGGGTTTTTACCATATGTTTATTTTTTGGCAGTTAGGCATCAGAATGAAAAAAGACATACCTCAAAGTATAAATGCCTACCATATTATGTACTAAATTATTAGGTAAGTTGATTAGATGTCATAAGTCATGTTTTTTAACTGTGATAATATAAAACAAGACACCCTCCTGAAAAACTGAGTACATTACAAAAAAAATTTCTGAATAATGTTACATATCAAATTAGAATTAACATTTAAAATGCCAACATTCACCTAAAAATAAAGACATGCCACACAGAAAACCAGTGTGCACATCTGCATATATAGCTGGTTACTTGCTACCCATAGTGCCTCAGGAATCAGGGAAAACAGACTGACTCCCTTCAACAATAGTGTATTATTTTGTCTCTGATAGGAAATCAAAGCATATTCACCACTTATTTTCTTCCTATACGTTAGTCAGTCTCTAAAAGATGCCAAATACCAAAAGATTAAAGAGGGCAAGTGTTATATATATGGGGCCCATTTGAGATACTCTGGTTTTATTCATACAGTCATTTCTAACAGAAGAGCCTCATTTGAAATGCTCGGCTATGCACGAACTTGACATATATCATTCTTTCAGGCCATTTGCAGGGGAGTTAGATCTTCCCCGCTCAGGGTGACCTTACAAGACTTCGGGCACAGCCCAGCCTCACTCAGAGGTTAAATCAAGGCAGCACATCACCCAGCAGCAGAGTTGTTTTTCTCCTGCAGCCGGTGACAAGAATAACTAAGGCGAGGGAGAAAGAAGACTGCCCAGCCTTTGTCAAACGGGACTGGCGGGGAGTTCTTCTAAAAACAGTCCCCAGTCTCATCAAGGAGTGGCTACCTTCAGCACAAGGCTGAGGCAACCATCCTGAAATTGTGGGTCCTCAACACAAACCTACTCATCGCCTTTGTGGATGAGGGGAGTGACATTGAAACCTGGGCTGATGTAACAGCAGTTTGAGAAGTTTGATTTACGCATTCCAACCCACTAGAATGTCGCCTTTGAGCGCCGATCCTTAAGGACTCTCAGGAATCCCTCTCCCCCACAGCCTCAGCAGTCATCACCTCCCAAATTCCAGCTTATACATTCACTTCCTGGGCAACTGCTCTCTTGGGGGGTAAAACAATGGGCTCTTTCAATCTTTTCTTATCAACAAAGAGCTCAAAGATGAAGAAACAGTCCCTTCAAGAGCATCCTCTCCGACTTCTTCATAAACGCTGAGTGGGCGTCGAGGGTGGGGAACGGGGGCCGAGCAGGGAAGAGGTGACGGGCAACTCACCTCTTTGAGCTGCTCCAGCTCCTGTTTCAGGCTGTCGTACTCAGCCTCCAGCTCGTCATACTGCTGCTTGAGGGTCAGCTTCTCCTCCAGGACCACCAGCCCGTACTCGGCAGCCTGGATCTTCTCGTGGGTCGTCTCCGTGAGCTCCTTGGTCAGCCTCTCTATCTCGGTCTTGTAATGGTCCACAGTCTGCAATACCTCTTCCGCGGCCATAGCCCCGGCGGCTGGATGCAGGAGGGGATGACGGGGTGGGGGAGATGGATGCAGAGCCGGCGGGGGGAGGGAGAAGGAGAGGAGGAGCAGGGAAGGATGCGAATGGAAAGAGAAGTGCGGCCGGATGGGCGAGCAGGGCGATGCCGTGACTGCGCCTCCGGCAGCCGCAG